AACAAAGAGTTTTATTCATAACTGAGTAATTGGACATTCATTGCTACCACCTCTGCTGGATGCATCAGAAAAGGAAAAGATGCAACATTGTGTCAGTAGTCTACCGTTCAAGCTAACGCTTCTAAAACCTTCATCGGATGAGCTCTGTTATCTGACAAGTTTATAAAAATGTATAAAATATTTTCAGCAACCAAGGTGGGAAAGTGTACACGTCTTTCTGCATCAAAGCCTAGAATATTTGAAAACTTTTCAATATCTTTCTAAAAGAACTTCGATTTTTGGCCTGTAAAAGCCTACCAAGTTTTTTTCTGCATCACAAAAGGTAGGAATACAGCCGAAATCCATATTTTATGATACTTTGTATTAGTCTTACTAGCAACATATAAAACACTTTTGAACCAATTTTTGTATCGAAATTTTTATCGAAATGGTATATGCAATTCCCATATGTAGAAATTTTATTTTTAATGACCCTTGCATGCAAACAGTGCTATAGAAACAGAAATAAAAATATGATGTGTGAATACATTGGAGAAAAGTAAATATTGAGAGAAAAACAACGTGAAGAATTATACTTGAAAAATAAAACTTGTGCTATTAGTAGAGAACAATGTAATATTTTTTTGCTTTTATTAAAGAAAAAAACTCCAGATAAAGAAGTGTGTGTTGTGTACGAAGAAGAACAAACTGGGCCATTTCATTATTTTCGAAGCATGGCAGCAGCTCTACCACGAATAAAAAGCTCAAAAGAATGCATCACTTGTAAACAATCAAAGAATGAGAAAGGTCGTCAAGGTGTTATCATATGCGTCGGATGTGAACTAATGTTTTGTGAAGAACATTCTTTACAACATCGACAAGAAATTAAACGTCAGTTTGATGGTATATGTGAAAAACATGCATTTCTACAACAAGGTTTAAATAACACAAAAGACAACAGTAAATTATCTGAATTGTTTAGCGAAATTGATCAATTCGAACAAGAAAGAAGTCATCAAAAAAGGACGAGCAATATCTGATCGTATCTCTCCTTGTTCTGACTTCGGATTATTGAGATTGAATTAGACGGAAAGTCTATGAGTGCTTTACGAATCATCACGATGTTGTTTCTCTTGACAAAAACGTTTACGGTGGAGTTGGCAACCAGTTATCTATTCTTCTTACACGGCTGAATCAGCATGAGCCGGGATTTTGTTTTTTCTCAAGAACACACAGGTACAGTTTAGCAAATGATTTCCTCAACTTATTCTGAAGAAGTCTCAAAACCTTTTTGCCCTATAATTTACGGAATTATTGTTGAAAGCTCCCAAGATATTTAGAAAAAGCTCCTGTTCACTGTACTTCAACAATAAACTAATGATCTTCGTCTAATATTTTCTTCATAAAAAGATACCTCATTCAAAGAAAGAAAATTAATAAATTCAATTTCAAGAAATATTTGAAATTTTAATCTGAACAATCAAAAGGATTCGAATATTGATGTTTTTGTTTTTAAGTTGTCAATACCACTTAAAAACGAGTACACTTGAGAGATATTTTTTACTAACTGGTTTTTATCAGACCAGGATTTCTTAACCAAACAACATCCAGAACGATAAATCAGACACTCTCATTCGTGACGCGACACTTCCGCGGACGACGTTACCTCGAAGACTTGTTGATTGGAAAAGAAGAATAAATGAGCCTGGTTTTGTATTTTGTATATCGTGTTAATACAGTCACAGCTATACAGTTTCATTGCTTATAGTATTTGACCGATTTTTTAAACTGACGCTCATTTTTATCAACGTTTGTATAGCAGTGCAGGATCCATGACACGACATTACCGCGAAGAGAATCCCGACTTTGCGAGTTTTTCAAGATTTATTGTGAGTTTTAACTATTAGAAAAAGGATAACGAACCCTTCTGAATTATAAGCACAAAAATCGAAGGCATTCCGTCAAGGAGCATATTTTGGCTCTTTTTCTTTGATCCAGACACATACAAACAAAAGTAAATAGCGATTCTGGAAACCCGAAGAATTCTCTACAGCTTTTTTATCCTGAGCTTTTCATTCAAAGTCTCACTTTAGAGTAATACTGAAAATTCATAAAGGCCTGAAAGCAAATTTCCTTTTTTTGTCATTCTGTCACGATCACTCTTTTCGGTATAACTTTTGATCAATGCAATCAATCAAGCTGCAATTTCAGAGAACTAGTAGACTTACATTAGCAAAAGAATTTTCAACCTAAACTATTGCGTGGTTCGGCAAATAGAGGTAGTAAAAGACGAAAAAATATCATTCCGCCACTCTCGGCTGAGCCGTTGACCAACAAAATGCTTCTCTTACTTGTTGCTATCGTTTATCTAGTCAAAACATTTTAATACTTGGCACCTGAAATGAAAGAATCAAACAGTGTTGATGTAAATCACCTGAAAATCCAGATTTCAAACACCTGTTTTAATATTAAAAAGTCTTAAACTCTCGAGAATGAAACCACTTTCTTTGATAAAAAATTATTTCGTCGACTGATTCGAACAGAATTCTAGTCTGGTTTCCAAGATTAAACTGCAAACAACAATGTAGTTTGATTACTAAAAGACTAAAAACTTGATAGGCGTTCATCTTTGCTGAAATCGAAGGACGTCCATCTGGTATGGCTAGAAATGATGGATCAGATAAAAAGAACAACAAAAACAGCCAAAGAACGTTTGTTACAAATGTTTAAAGAAAAAGAAGAAATAAAAACAGAATTTAACTCGTTAACCAAGGAATTACGCCTGAAACAA